CCCAGCAATTTTTTGATTCATGTCACTTTCCGGAGCATCCGATAATCTGGAGACTACGGTAGCACTGCTTGCGAGGAGTCAAATACAAAAATAAAGTTTGAGTGATTTCTTCCTCAAATGCGCATTGGGGTTATTGGTGTTCATCTCCTGTTTTACAGCCCTGAGCGAGTGATGGAAATTCCACGTTCCTATGACAGGGGGTGGGGGGGGGGCGAATCACCATAAGACAATCGATGCCGACTTCACAAAGCGGTACGTCACTTTGAGCGACGCCAAGAGGGATGATGTGCTGAGTCGCGACCTTTCGGACTGGGGGCGAGCCGCTCGCTCGACCACCGGCTCACATCTGGACGGTTCGTTTCGCGATTTGGCCGGAAATCCGACCGCTCGGTGCGGAATGGGGCGTTACAAGTGTGGGTTGCACGGTGGAGAGCGGTAGTGTAGGGGTTAACGCTATGCTGCACTACGAACCTGGCGACCCGGGTTCGATTCCCGCTCACAGCCAACACCAGTGACGATTATCTGAACCGGTCTTGGGCCTTCCCTAGGTCGACTCAGCCTCAAATGAGTACCTGGTGCGATGTGTAAACATCGCTGCTAGGGAGACAAAGGCGGCCGGGCGTGGTGCTGGCCACCCACCCCCTCGTGTGCCACAGTGCCGGCCTTCATAGGTGCTCGCTAACAGCACTTGCCCCTACAGTCCCTTAAGGCTATACGGGGGATCTTTGTCTTTCTTCTTTGGTTCTTTCGGTAAAGTCACGTAGAATGAGAATAAAATAATAAATTGATAAAATAAAATAACACAATAATATTCTCACGACGTTTCGGCCACAACACAAGAATATTATTGTGTTATTTTATTTTATCAATTTATTATTTTATTCTTCTACGTGACTTTACCGAAAGAACCAAAGAAGATGAATCATTGCAGTCACGAAAGCTTTAAATCGAAAAATCTTTGTCTTTGTTGCACGGTAAACGCCCTAAACGCAATCTTCGCTCGGGGGCGAGGGGTTTCTGCGTGTGCAGCAGCAGCAGGAGGCGGAGCGGTTGTCTCGCGTTGGCCTGTGCGGCCCGATTGTCGCGGTGGTGTTTCAAACACCTCGGCGGCTCTCCGATGCTGCCCGATGGTTCAGCAGGGGTAGGTGAGGCAATGCCCGTTCCAGAGCAATGAGCTGGCACCTTTGAGACGCGCAACATTCGCGCTTGCGGCGGTGTTTGATTTCGATCGGCTCAGCCTGGGTCACCGGCCCTCACCGAGCGCGCCCTCGGGTCACGTCGTTTCGGCGCGATGTTCGACGTTTCGCTCCGCTTCGCCGGGTGGGGAGTCGAATCGACGCTTGCGTAGCACAGCGGGCGAAAATGTTTTAAATAAAAACCCTGCGCGTTTTGTTCTGGTCGAGTCGGCGGTTGTTCACCTCGAAGCCGAGTTCGACTCCCAGCCGTGGCAAATGTTCACCCGTTCCTGGGCCGTGGTGAAGTATGGGCAAGAACCGGAGTGAGGGGGGGGGGGGGGTACGACTCTTGAAGGTACTGTTTAATATTTTACTTTAAAATGTTCCTCGCCAACACGTCCCAGGGGATCCTCAGCGTCGGCTGTGAAGCGGGCGGGCGGCGCCGGTTACGCTTCGACGCAAACCGCGCGGTTGCCGTAAAAAAAGACGCGAGAGTCGAACTTCCTCCCGGCGCCGTGCGATTCGGTAGCGCGGCCGATTGACGCAGGCGTGGCGAAGTTGCCATGCTCGCGGCTGCTATTAACCGGGGAGGGGGGGGGGGCCTGGCAGGAACGTCGACGATGGCGGATGAGGGGGGGGGCGATTGCGGCCCCCCCCCTCCACCGCAGAGGGATGGGCCACGACACTGCCCCCCCCCCCCCCCCCCACGTAGCGTATGCTTGGGTGCAACTTTTGAGCCACCACGACCGGCAGCGTCTCGGGTGGCTGGCACGTGGAGAGAGAGAGAGGTGGGGGGGGGGGCTTTTACGCACGCGTGAGCGATCGACCAATCGATCGATCCACTGATCCACTGATCGATCAAAACTGAGCCGCGGGCTCGTTCAACGTCAACGCGCGCTGTTGATGACGGAGGGCCCCAGTCGGATTTCGCCGGGTGCACCAAATTCACGGAGCACGAGCCGACTACAAAAGCTGGGCCGTGTTTTGGTCACGTACGGGGGGGTCAAAGGCAGTATCAGTATGGATAATTCACACGTGACAGCAAGCGCCACGTTTAATCGCAAGTCATGACCTTCTGGGAATGGGTTGGCCTTGCCTCCGTTCCCAAGTCAGCGATAATTATGAATTGACGACAACCTGGCACGCAGCCGCGGCTTTTGGCTGGCCATTGAACAAAGACGGTCACTGCATCGCGCGCTTTTCAGACGCGGTTCTGCGGCCGTCTGGAACGCTCTTCCTTCCGGTCTTAGGAAGCCACTGGGAGCTGTGCACTTTTTTTTAAATCATCTCTCTATTGAACAAGTCCCTGCAGGGTGGGCTGGTAGGAACATTGGAATTTTGCGCAATTTTATGACATTGTTACGTAAAATTGTGCAAATTGAGAGCGTCTTCCCACCTTTTTGCCCTCAAAATCGTTGAGGGTTCTTCGGACAAATTAACCTCTGTAGAGGAATGGAATGGCGAAATCCTTATTGACTGAAATCTGCTCATTTTGGAGCAATGTATCATAAAATCGTTAAGGGCTGGGCCGAAAAATGACAACAATTGCATTTTAAAATGAGGAATTGTTTCCCGGTATACGGTAGTATGGGGCTTTTGAAAGGGGACGGACGGACACATTAATCTATTGCAGGCTGGTACACTCAGTTTACAACTTCGTTCCTACCAGTAAAACTCATCCTTTTACAACTACTTCTTAGCGTTTAGTCGTGTTGTCCTTCCCCTACCACCGCCGCACCTCCGATTAATTATCACGGCTGGCTACGTACGGTGCGAAAGAAGTTCAACACTCGCGTACACGTACACCCATTTTTAGCTGAGTAACCCCCCCCCCCCCCACCACACCACTCCAACCCCTACGGTCGACTTCATCACCGTCGCGTTCCGAACTCTTGGCCGCCGCTCCATTGTTACTCTTGACCATCGGCCATCGCCCCCCCCCCCCCCCCTCTCTTGTGAAGCGTCCCTGCCCGAGGGAGCCCCCCCCCCCTCTCTCTTGTGAAGCGTCCCTGCCCGAGGGAGGCCCCCCACCCCCCCCCCCCCCCCCCCCACACTTTTACTTTTGACTGTCAATATAAAACAACAACAAAATCATACCGGAAACAATCATCGGGAGGGGGGGGGGTGCGGAGATTTGGGAGTTCAAGCAAAACGCAAGGAGGCGTGACGGAATCAGATAATAGTTTATTTTTGTTGTTGTTGTGTTATCTCGAGTGAACATAAATGTTGTCGTTAAACCCGTCACCACCCGACGCGGGCCAATTAGCAGCAAAGGTTTGTAACGTAAACAAAACGTGCCAATTAGTTACTGGTTCAGCACCCCCGGTGTGTTGGAGAGTAAACCGCGACGCCGTTTACAAATCGAGTGGTTTAACTCGTCCCGTTTTAGCGATTAGTAAGTTTGTCTAACATTCACTGTGTCCTGACCCCCCACTTGTCCCTGACAATGGGTATGCACCCCCACGCCAGTGCCGGATTAAGCTCGTGCTGGGCCTGTAGCCATCTCCACATATATAAAAGGCAAAGTTGTGATTACGTGTGTCTGTTCGAAATGTTTAGCGTACTTCCCGACATGCAACAAACTTGAAATTTGCCATGTGGGTACTTTCCAGACTGTACATCATGCACAAATTATAAAAATACATTTTTTTTGGGGGGGGGGGGGGTGGGGAGCTCAATAATGCATATTTTTTTTGCACGGCAAGTGAGCTGTGACGTCAAATCTGTCACGTGACCCTCGCATGTGGAAGCGTAACACCCAGTCGTTCGTAAAAGTTGAAGGCGGTATAGTACTATAGTAATAGAGCAAGTGCACAATCACTGAACCGCAATTGATAGCTTGAAAGCATTTAGCGCGGGGCCCTTGAAAGTGCGGGGCCCGTAGCTACTACGAGGATAATCCGGCACTGCCTCACCCCCACCCCTTTAAGCAAGGTCACGCTACCAGGGGCTTCTTGGGTGACTGATTTAGCGAGGAGACGTGGACTTTTTCTCTAACGAGAGCGACTTTTTTTTCTTTAACGAGAGCGACTTAACGCCGTAGGGCTGCTGAAATCGGAGCGGCTCGTGCAAGCAAGCGCGATGTCACCGGGGGTGTTTAAAAAAAAATACTCTCCCCCTCACTGCCAAAAGTGCCACGAAATCATTTCAAATTCCGGGAAAGCAGGATTTGTATTTTAAGTGACAAAAAAGGGTGAGCTTTGTGTAACTTCGTGGCCGGGCGTTCGGTTGATTCTTACGACATCGCAGGATCGCGAGAGATGGCAATGACTCGGGAAAGCCTTCATTCAGCAGTGGATTGATCATGGCTGATGATGATGATGATGATTTTAATCTGTGTAACAACTTTCAAATGCAGCAGCTCTTGCAACTTGGTCTTGCGACAATGATCGCACATTCAACGTTGTGAGCGAGATTCCGTTATTGTACTGTACTTCTACGCTGTCACGAATATGCTGCCCCCCCCCAACACCACACACCCACACCAGCCCGCACGGGGTGAGTAGAGGCCCTCGTCCAGCTGAGCATTAACAAAAAGGGTGCTACGTGTACACAAAGACAAAGATCCCCCGTATAGCCATTAACAGGGACTGTTGGGGCAAGTGCTGTAAAGGAGAGCCGGCCTATGAAGGCCTTACGGCCGCCAGTCGAAGCAAGCGAGGGAGAGAGAAGAGATACGAGAGAAGGGGAGAGACGAGAGAGAGGGGGAGAGTGGGAGACTTCAGCATCGTAGTCGCCTGGTTCAGAGGCAGCAGCAGAAGAAGGACATCGACCGCCGCCGCCACAACCACCACCACCTTCCTCCTCGCAGTTCACGGTGTCGCCATGGCTGGTCACGACTTGGATGTGCAGTATCAGATCAAAGGCATCCAGAAATATTTGAATGTTTGCACCCTGATCGGCAGACGCAATTGCGTCCTCGCCACATATGCAACCGTTGCGAGCATCGTTCTGTTTTTCAAGTTGAAGTCAAAAAAGCCCAAGCAGATTCAAGCTTCTTAAAGGAAACTTGATGGTGATGGGGACCGTCCAACAGCTCAACACTCGGATGTGAAGAAATTTGCGTTCCCAAAGTAACAGCTACTCATCCTGCTGTGTAATGCCCCAATAAAGTAAGTTTTTAAAAAAAGAGAGAGAGAAGAGAGAGGGAGAGATACGAGAGAGAGAGAGAGGGAGAAGAGAGTGAGCGAGGCGAGGGGAGTTTATGTATGCAGCAACGTGACCCCCACATCCACCTGTTGCTGTCCCTTTGTCGCTGCTATATTTGATCGCGCGATTTAAGCCCACGCCTCACCACCCCCATCCATCCCCCCTCTGCCTCTCGTCTCATGACCGAGGGGGGGGGGATGGAGACTTAAATATTTACAACATCACGCGCAAAACCAGCCGAGAGACCACGGGTGGCACGCTCACGCGAGCGAACACTGCGGACGCAGGAGGGCAATTTACAGTGACTCCCGAGAGGACACAACGCCAATGTTTGCCATTCCTATACGCTTTGGTTCTACCCACGTGGACTTCACCCAAATAACAACCAAAGTGTATGGATTCCTGCAGTCACGAAAGCTTCAAATCAAGATGTTGCCATTTCTTCCGACTGTCAGCAGTTCGCGTGTTTTGTTGTTGTTTGTTGTTGTTATTGTTTGTTGTTCACCTGCGGGGCGAACTCGGCACGCCGCTTCGTCTCTCGCACTGTTGACGCAATGCGCAAGTTGAACCGGGCCGGCGACAGACGGCGAATGGTGCCGCCTCTGGCGATGAATATCACGCGGGTGGCGTTGTGTGTGCGTCAATAACTGGGGGAGGGCGAATGCGGACCAGATGTTGATGTTGGCCCACGCCGCTTACCCAATCGACTTCCACCCGACGTTTGCACCCCACCCCCCTCTCCAGGAGGCGCTTTGCTAACTGCCCTCGCCTCTGAGGACCCGAGTCGATGGCTCAGCGGTGGCGCTCGCCCGTGAGACTCTGATCCTCGTGACGCCTGGGTATGTCCCGTCACCCCGTTCTCCAGAGCCTTCGACGCTGCACGTGGCCGTAGCGGTTTTTGTTCCCCCCTCCCCCCCTCACAGAGCTGTCGCAATTACCAATCCACGGAGAGTTTATTGGCCTATCGGTGCTCGGAGTCGCTAATCGTTACGTTGAAAAAAAAATTGTAACTTCGTGATGTATGGGACCTCGATGCGCAGAGGAAGGGGATTTCACAACGGCTACGCCGATCCACCAACCCTAGCTGCTGCCTCTGCAGTGCTGGATTACAGGCCACCACCACCATCACCACCGCCACCGCCGCCACCACCATCCTTCACAAGCATCCACCCCCCACCCCCCTCTCTCTTTCAACGCGTCTTTCGGTCACTGGTCTTGTTCATCAACTCTCAATCCTTCCAAGTGGCCTCGAGCTACCAGCGTGCCTCTCTGATCCCCAGTTCCTCGCCCCTTCGAAGCCGTTCCGAGAGCGCGCGCAGGGGGCGATCCAAATTCCGCGGCGCGGCGGTCAGCTGCTCTTTTGTTACAATCGGAATCCAGTGACTGAGTGTTCCGATGTGTCCGCAACGCGAAGGTCACTCGACACGTCGTCCGTTCTGCGTCCAATCGAGCGGCTCGGCATTCGGTCATCTCCGGCGCGGTCCTGAGTCATAAATTGTACGTGGTGGAAATTTTCACTTTTATTTTTGTTTGTCCGTGGCCCCACCACCCCCACGACGTCCCTCAAAGTCAACCCACAACTTGACACGGTATTAATACATTTTTCGTTTTTGCGCAGCGGTAACACGCGCGCCTCGCAGCGAGACGAAACCTCAGTTCGAGTCCCGACTCGGGTGCCTCTCTGTGTCAAGATTGTATTTTCCTCCCTCCTGTTCTGAAGCGTGCGCGTGTGTGTGCGTGCGTCTGTGTGCGTGTGTGTGCAAGTGTGTGTGTGTGCGTCTGTGTGCTTGTGTGTGTGCGTGTGTGTGTGTGTGCGTGTGTGTGTGCGTGTGTGTGTGCAAGTGTTTGCGCGTGCGTGTGTGTGCGTGTGTGTGCAAGTGTTTGCGCGTGCGTGTGTGCGTGAGTTCGTGGGGGAGCGGTAGTGTAACAGTTAGCGCTTCGCTGCGCTATGAACCCGGCGACCCGGGTTCGATTCCCGCTCACGGTCAACACCTGTGACGATTATCTGAACCGATCCTGGGCCTCCCCTACGTCTACTCAGCCTCAAATCAGTACCCGGTGCGGTGTGTAAACATCGCCACTGGGGATACAAAGGCGGTCGGGCGTGGTGCTGGCCACCCACCCCCTGGTGTGCGGTTCCGGCCTTCATAGGTGCTCGCTAACAGCACTTGCCCCTACAGTCTGTTAAGGCTATACGGGGGGATCTTTGTCTTTGTGAGTTAGTACGAGGGTGTGTGAGTGAATGGAGTTTTGGGTCTTCTCTCGCCCCCATTCTCAGTGGGTTTCCTCCGCCTTCTCCCGGTCTCCTGCCACAGCACCTACATGATTAGCACTGTTGTCCACGTGCGGTGCGACAGCATCTCGACGTCCATACACACATCTGCCGGTGGATTGACACGGAGGCAGCACAGGTGTGTACGCGTGTCTACTAAAAGGGAGCAATTGTGGGCCAGCACACACACGAATTTGTTTTCCAGCAGACGGGGGTCTCACGTGGGCTCGTTATAACCGCGCCCTGAGGGCTGTGCCAAACCGAACCTCTGAATGATGCGATTGTCTTCACGAGAAGGCAGCACACAATGCGACAAAGTACACACACACAGAGTACACACACACACAGATCGCACACTACTACACACACACGATTACATCTACGGGACCCCTCCTTGCCAATGTACCCGGGTATTGATTGATAAATAAAAAACAAGGCCGTTTACCCTTTATAACATAAACAGAGGCGTTCGAGTTTGTTCAAACATCAAATGGGCACCATCTCACCTCACCACGTAGATAGGACCGCTTCAGTTTAACACGTAGGCTATCTCAACCAATATCATCCATAAAACAGGTTTATTTGGGTTAGATCTAACCCAAATAAACCTGTATTATGGAGGACTCTTTCACCCGAGAAACGAATGGCTCTGGTGTTCGCGTTGCCTATTTGGTCTACAGCACCGGTAAGGGAAAGCCATCACAGAGGGCTGGCTGGATGTCTTTCGTGCAGGCCAAATCAGTTTCAAGGGCAGACTGTAGCGTACAGTATCTAAGCGTCTTTGTTTGCATGTTTGACATCACGTGTTTGTGGTTAATGATGATGTGTTGCCTTGTAATAGGTGTGTGTCTATTTGGTGTTTGATTATCTTACCACTTTCTATCTTCATGCCTTTTTGTTCTATCACTCAATACACAAAAGGTTATTTCTCATTTTATTCTCTGTTTTACAAGGCTGACCCGGCTGATGAGAACAAGAAGGTCGAAACCACCCCAGGCTTCGTTTGCAAAAAAAAAGTGCTTCTGGATAATGTTTGTCTGGAAAGCCAAACAGGCAGATGACATGAACAACATCGTTTGTTTATGTAAAGAAGAAACAATGTAGGGTTCTATTTGAACTGTAGACACTTTGTACCCATAATGCCCTGCAATAACGCAATTGATTCATTTCATATTCTTGGGTCTTTCGGTAAAGTCACGAAAAGACCCAAGAATATGAATTCCTGCAGTCACGAAAGCCTTAAGTCATGATACATTTTAATGTATTATTATTTTTCCAAGAGTTCAACTCTTTGTAAAAATCCATCTTATGGACCAATGAATGTTGTCTTACGTTTGATGCCCCTGACTTTTTAATGTTGATATGTTCTTACTCAACAGATGAAAGGTAAACATTGTTGACCAGCCATTGCTTGCTCGCGCCATTGCTGTTGGAAAGTAATCGACTGAAGTGTATTGACACTAAACTTTTTATTCTACCAGGTAAGACCCAGGTAAGACGAGCCATATAGCTCTTATGTCAGAAGCGACCTGGCCACAAATGATAGCTCAACAAAGTGGCTTATCGCCACGTGGACATGGAGAACAGGTAAATACCCTAAACGCGTGATGTTGATTCTAAATGTGGACCGGGAGAAAAATCCACGCCACCACGGTGAGAGAGAGAGAGAGGGAGAGACTCCAAATATACAACAGGGGTTTAGGGTCGCGATCGAACCCACGACCTCCTGCATACCAGGCGAGGCAGTTAACATCTCCTAGCCACCGTGGCGCCCATCTCTATTTCACGTACACTTCTTCCACACCGGCCAGACGTCTCGAAAGACGTGGGAGTCTTGCGAGACAATTTACTCCACCGCACGCAACCAGCCGATTGACTGTAGACGATTAATTGATTATGCTGTTGCTTGGGCGGAGGCGGAGGTAGGGGGATGATGTTGTTTAAACTGCCCCCACCGCCTGCAGATACATTTGACGATGCTTGCAATGCATGCCCAGTGTGCTGACCATCGCACCATCTACTCGACACGGCCACAGTGCCATTAGTCGATGCCAATGGACCATTCTATCTGTAGTGGTTACAGTACCGACACACTCAGAATGATCGGTCCCGACGTCGGTCAATACTGCACACGCGTGAAGATGTTTAGGCGTAGCTGCATCACAGCAAAACTAAATATTACCGTCACGTCAGCGTGAAGGTCAACTATTTTAAAATGTTGCGGCACTGTATTAATAACGATTTGGTGTTTTTTTTTCTAGAGTCACCCTCCTGTACTACCGGAGCACATCAGATAACTTTTCGTCACGTCTCCCATCTCAACGCGCTTCAACTAAAACTCAACTTTTTTTTTCATTTTACCAGGTAAGGCTCCACTGAACTGTTAAATGGCTGTGTTTTTCAGAAGCGACCCGGATTTCACAAAATGATAGCTCGACGAAGTGGCTTATCGTCACGTGGACAATAATCGCAGCCACAAACTCTGAACGCGCGTCGATTCTAAACGCGTAGGTGAACAAAAAACCGAAAACGGTATGAGCCGAAGATAAAAAAAAAAATCCACGCGACCACGGGGAGAGAGAGAGAGAGACACCGCCGACTGCAAATGTACAGCGGGCGACAGGGTCGGGTTCGAACCCACGAACCTCCTGCATACCAGGCGAGGTAGTTAACATCTCCTAGCCACCGTGATGATGATGA